GGGGGGGGGGGAGATGTTGAGTCTCAGCTTGCATATAGGATAGGAGGGGGTCAATATTTGCAAGGATCCCACATCGATAAAATAACAATAAGAGACCAGAGGACGAGCTATAAATAAGGACTAAGGAGCAACTTGTCGACATACTTACCTGGACGGGGTCGATGGGTGATCAGGAAGACTCATGGCCTAAGTTGGTGACCTCCATTGCACTTAGGAGGGGTGCTAGCTTAAGGTCTCCCCAAGTGGGAGAGCCTACGTCATAATTTATTGCAATGGGGGCTTGCGTTCGCGCAGCCCCTGCTCAAAAATAATCCAAGCTTTTTCAGACTTCTTTCAATTGATTAAATAGATTATTTTCTTCCGATGTGCCTTGATTTTTTAAATTTTCACAACCTTGGAGTTGTATGTGAATTTGATAATTTTCAATTTTATTTTGGTTGAATTCTATGGAATTTGAAGGTTTCATGAATTATGATCTGAAGTCTGCTTTGATTATACAAGCAATAGATAAGCAGAGAGAGAGCACAGCAACTATGAATTCTGGAGAAAACAGACAGCAACTAAGAAATCTGGTTTGAAGATTTATGGTCTTAAGAAAAATTTACACCATAAAAGCCAAACCTTCATGTGTGGTGTTCGAACCATGCGTTTGCCAAAAAAGAAAGGAAAACTTAAGAGATTTATTATATATTGAGTCAAAGAATATTACCTCTGCTTGATCGATACTCAGACTCAGTGCCAGAGCAATAAGAAACATGGAGCAGTGCCCATGTATTTTGGAACATAGGAAACCACGGTAATTTTAACTCGGTTGTCCCACATCGAAGAACACGAAAAACAAATGGCATGCGCGTACTATAAAGGAGGAAGAGGTGGTGCCTTTAAAACATACTTACCTGGACGGGGTCAATGGGCGATCAAGAAGGCTCATGGCCTAGGTTGGTGGCCTCCATTGCACTTAGGAGGGGTGCCTGCCTATGGTCTCCTCACTGTAGGAGAGCCAACGTCATAATTTGTTGCCGTGGGGGCCTGCGTTCGCGCGGCCCCTGTCAATTCTATAGACAAACATTCCAAGTTCTCAACGTAAAAGCCCATTAGCAAATTATTTAAAATATAGAGTCTAAACTTGCATTTGTTTCTGCTGTTATATTTACTTCGTCTCTTTTTTCCGATTTATTTTTGCTGCTGCTGCTCATGAATCCCATAAACTAATTGCTGCTGTTAAGGCAAATTATTGAGGTTAAATGCGTTTATGATGTCAGACTTGGTAGAGCGGAGAGAAAGCTTCTGATGTGCTGCAATTAAATCACACTCAGAAAATCATTCATTGTGAAATTCAATCGAGTTTCATCAGCAGCTGTATTTGTCAATTATATTGTAGCTGCGCACCTAAACCTACAAAACCCTTATTTATGAGACTATTTTTTTTTAGGACATTTTCTATTTAGAGGGGCGATAATATCCTAAACTTACATACACAATACGGAAGCTAGGATCTAAACCCAAAACCTTGCCTTGGAGAGCAATTGCTCCAAACTACTACACTAGTGGGTCTTTGTTGATATATGAGACTCTATGACCAGTTTCCTTTCTTATTTCCTTTATTATTTTGTGTTGGACTTTGGAGGAGAAAACATGCAACTTTTCACCGCTAAGGTTTTACTTTTCGTATATGCTTCTTAATATTTTACTTATAACCCTGACGCTCAATATTTCAAAAGGGTAAAAAGAGTCGAGTGTTTCTCTGGATTAATTAAGTTTGTCAAATCGTATGTGTTTCTGACACTTTTTTCCAACATTTTAGATAGTAGCTTCAAGTACCACATCGGAAATGCACAAGAAGTGGAAAGCGAGACTAGTGTATTAAAAAGGAACAAGGGGCACTTTGAAACATACTTACCTGGACGAGGTCTATGGGCGATCAAGAAGGCTCATGGCTTGGGTTGGTGACCTTCATTGCACTTAGGAGGGGTGCCCGCCTATGGTCTCCTCAACGGAGGAGAGCCAACGTCATAATTTGTTGTAGTGGGGGCTGCGTTCGCGCGGCCCCTGCCTCAATTCAGTATCAACTTTCAGCTGCTGGCTAGCAAAACAGGCTCATCTCTCATTTTACCTTTTTGTCTAGTATGATATATCCATTCAGAATTGATTCTAAATCAGCATGTTTTCCCATCCATTACTTTGCTTCCTCAAGTTGATTTTACTTTTGTCGGTTAGTTTAGTATAAATTCGAAGTCCAATAAATATTAATTTATCCCTTCAATTCTGCAGCGACATGCAAAAATAATTTTTAGTAAAATTCATCTGGACCTTCTCTGTTAACCATCCATAAATTGCTTCATTGATACCAATCCTTGCATAATATTTAAGATAAAATGCTGCTAATTTTCTTAAAACACATCATACCAACTTGAATAATCTCACAAGGATGTAAAGGTTCTTGAATTAGTAAGCCATACAAACTGTTTTTAAATTCTATTACAAACAGAAAAGGCAGCAAATTATTCTTCATAGCATTTATTGAGACTCATGTCAAGAAGCAAAAGCAGTCAAAGCGAAAACACGGTGCAGCTTGATAATCATACTCTCTGCCTCGCAAATCATAAAATTTGTACAGTTCCTTTCGAAGCTACAGAACATCTCAGGGCTCAAAAACCATATTCTCAGCCTCCCGCTTTACAGATTCGAACAACACAGAGGATAGATAACGCTCTCCAAAGCTGGGGAAGACCACCTGTACGCATTTAGAAATGAAAAGGTGATCCAGTCAATCTTAAGGGAACATACCATTCCTGTCAGTTTGTGCAAACTATGCAGGAAACATGCTTAAACAACAAGCTCAGTGGTCCAATATGTTGTTGAAAACCTACTGCAGTTAATAATATGACTTACAACAATGAGCTTTCCAGTATTTTCTGGCCTCTTTGCAATTTCAATCGCAGCAGCAGCAGCAGCACCGGATGATATCCCCACCTGCAATACATGTTAATCGTAAATCAAAATAGAAAAGATGGAACAATGGAAGCAACCACAGGAAACCAGAATACCGAAGATTGTAAAATTCATGACAGAATTCAATAGCATGCTAAAAGAACCAAGAGAAGTTCTTGTTCAAACAGTTCATTCACAATTGTGGACTTACCAGCAAACCTTCTTTCAATGCAAGCTGCTTAGCAGTTTCTATAGCTTCTTCACTTGATATCTGCAAAAGCCATAGAAAGATTGGTTTAGCTCTCAAAATATAAACTTGCAGCTTGGAAGGAAAGTTTTCAATTTCACAAAATTAATGAAAAAAGTGGCACTGCATATAACTTATCGATATCATCATGAGCATACTCATATAAGTCTTGCGATGAAATTAAAAGCTCAAACAATGATATTTCCTAGACAGATTAATAAAGAAAATAATCAAAGCCCCCACCAAAAAAAATAAAATAATGGTAGTAAGACTTCAAAAATATCAATCATTACAATTAATAACCACAAGTCTTCAGTGGAAAATAATGCCAAGTACAAGTTTTAGTGCTTACTTGAATAACTTCGTCAATCAAGTTGACATCTAAAACTCCAGGGATGAAGCCAGCACCAATTCCTTGAATCTTGTGAGGGCCTGAGATATAGAGAAGTACACAGATCATCAAATTTAGAAAAGGAGCATATGAGAAGATGTTGCAAAAATTCTCTAGCGAACATTTTGTACTCAATATCATCTGCCGACGCTAGACTAGTCTGAATCTAGGATTGTCATTTAACACTAATTTTCTAGCACGTGGGTATCTAGGTGACTTTTCTTTTGAAATTCTTAAGGGACAGTTACAGGTCCACTTTACAGACATTTAACTTGGGCCCGAAAAATGAAGTTTATTGAACTCTAAATAATGAGGCTGCAGCCCAGATCAAAAGGGCCAACACCCATGTGTTCGTGACAAGCGGGTTATCATGACTCACCGGGTTTCCCTCCAGACAAAACAGCACTTTCAACTGGTTCTACACCATATAGCTAAACATAAAAAGCAAGGGGCAAGTCAGCATTATGAGAAATAATGATAAAGGGATTATAAAAAAATTGAATAATTATTATCCTCTAAATTATAATATGCAAAGAGACGGCCAACCTTGATGTTTGGGTTTTGCTCTTTGAGGTACTTCCCAGCACCTGTTATTGTACCTCCTGTTCCTATCCCAGAAACAAAGGCATCGGCTTTACCACCAGAGCCTTCCCAGATTTCTGGTCCAGTAGTTTCATAGTGTACCTGAACAGACCAGAAATATCTTTCCAGCAGTCTATCCAGACAGCAAGTTATATTAACAAAAAAAACATGACATAAAATTTTCACCTTTGGGTTGGCATGGTTTTCAAATTGCTGCAGCATATATGCATTAGGTGTCTTTGCCACAATCTCTTCTGCCTTCTGAACAGCCCCTTTCATGCCTCTGGCTGGATCTGTGAGGACAAGCTCAGCCCCAAATCCTAGAAGAATGGTTCGTCTTTCGAGACTCATTGAAGCAGGCATGGTGATTATTAGTTTGTAACCCTTAGCAGCTGCCATAAATGCCAATCCTATGCCAGTATTGCCACTCGTAGGTTCAATCAGGACACTCTATAACATGAAACAAGAAAAAATTGTCATATCAAAAGTTTCTCTTTTACCTCATTAATTACACAAACAGAACCAGAACACTATTAGACCGTGAAAAAGTAAAGAAAAATACCTAACATTTTAATTTTTTACATTACACATGCAGAGGGAACATCACAAATAAAACTTGAAAGAAGAAATTGCAAATGATTGACTGATATCTAAACCAAGTTGGGGATTGAATGGCAGAAATCATAGCAGATAATAACAGACATTTCTATTTGAGTTTCAAAGACAGGCGCCACTTGGATTCAGAAAACCTATTTCACTTGTCTAGATAAGGAAGACATGAATACTAACCTCACCCGGCTTAATGAGACCTTTCTCCTCAGCATCTTTAATCATACTGTATCCGATCCTACAATGAACAAATCATCATTCTAAGTTTTCAACTGATTGCATGGAACTGGGCCATGGAAATTTCTCTTGGAGACCCACTTCGGAATTGACTTCAGCTTACATATAAGTCCAACTTCACAACAATAACACTGAACAAAGCAGTCTCATGAAAAAAATCCCAATCAAACAACAGCAGTGTGTGCAACTGATAAATATTCCAATCAGAATTAGCTAACCTGTCTTTGACACTAGAGCAGGGTTCCATCATCTCCAGCTTAGCAGCAATTTTTGCTACGCAGCCATCTACAACATGGTTGAGATACACCAATGGTGTTTTACCAATTAACTGTATAACAATCACAATGAATAAACACATTCAATCAGCAAAATATCATATAATATTCAGACACCCAAAAGGTTAAACATTATGAAACTAAATGGGGTACAACTTACTTCAGTGACATCCTTTGCAATCCCAGACTTCTCCTCCCCCATCTTTATCAGTCAACTGTTAAGAAAATGAAGAGTATCAGCAATAATCAATACGTAAAATTCTAAATAAGTCAGCTTTCAAAGAACAACTAAAACAAATACCAAGATTTTTATTTATTTTTAATTAAAAAAAGTAAAAAAAAGAAGAAAAGAAGTAACTATTGTGTGTGACTTTGAACTTTATAAACACTTTAAAAACTGAGTTGATCTTCTTCTGTTTTTGTTTTTCCTTTCTGGAGACAAGAGCAAGTGAGCAATAGGAGATTTAACACTTCAAAGTATTAGTTTAATTTCTTTCCTCCGTTTTGTCAGCAGCCAAACAGCATATGACTTCACATCAGCAACCATCTCAATAACCAATTCCATATCCAGGATCATGATACAACAATCAGATGAAAAAGAAAATTGCATATTTTAGAGCTTGTGACTTCACATCAGCAACCATCTCAGTAACCAATCCCATATCCACGATCATGACACATCAATCAAATGAAAAAGGAAACTGCATGTTTCGAGAATCTAAAGATTTTTCCTTTTAAAAAACAAGAAATTGATTGGAAAAAAAAATCCAAACATATTAAATCATGAAAGAAGAACAAGAAAGTATGAAGTGAATCAAACCTGCTTGAGACTCCTGGCAATGCAAAGAGCTGAAAGAAATATAAGACTGAAACGAAATGAAAGAGAGTTTTGGAAGCTTACCACCAGCTTGACTTGGAAGTTGAGACTTTAAGGATGGCCAGGATCTGAGCTCAGAGCTGAAGGAACACAAATGACAAAAGTGAGAGAGTTGCGGAGATTTAAAGAAATTTCAGCTGGCTTTACGTCTTTGGAGCCTTTTTTATTTTTCCGTATTATCATTGTCATCCGCTGGCTTCTTCTTCAAAAATAAAAAACAACGGCATATTAAATATTTTCCTTTGTTTTTCTTTTTTTTTTGTCTGAACCATGAGGTGGTCCTGGATGGGCCCCAACTATGGATGACACCTTAAGCCTTAACCACAACCCAGACTAATCCCCACTCACACCAGGTCGGCCCGTAAGGGGTAAAGTGTTGGCCAAAGTGGTGACTCCGTACGAGAGCAGGGATCGAACCCCTAACCTCTCTTAAGGAATGAGAGTGCCGAACCACTCACACCAACCACCTTGGTTCCTTTGTTTTTATTTTTATTTGTCTATGAACTGTTTTTTATTTTTTACAAGTTACAACTTAATATTGTTATCGTGGTTTTTATTATAATTGATCCTAGCCTCTCCGCACGCGCTTCCGTACCTGTGAGAGACTTTATTTTAAAATTTTAAAATTTTATTTTAGAATTAAAAAAGATAATGAATAGTTGTTTTCCATAAAAATAAGATCAATTATCCTATTTTTCTTTTAATTTTAATCTTTTTAAATATGAAAAAGTATGAATTTACCATATTATCTTCATTTAATTAATAATTTCAATTCTTAATGTTTGCATTAACCAGGGCATTTTATGGTATTTTGAATGTTTCACCATTCTCTGTCTTTTGCTTTATATATAGAGACTAGCCTCTCCGCACGCGCTTCCGCGCCTGCGAAAGGCTTTTTTTAAAAAAAATTAAAATTTGTTTTAGAAATAAAAAGGATAATGGGTAGTTGTGTTCCATAAAAATAGGTCCTTATCTTATTTTTCTTTTAATTTTAATTTTTTTAAATATGAAAAAGTGTGAATTTACCATATTATCCTCATTGAATTAATAATTTCAATTCTTAATGTTTGCATTAACCAAGGGCATTTTATGGTATTTTGAATGTTTCACCATTCTCTGCCTTTTGCTTTATATATATAGATTAAGAAAGGGAAATCAAAATAAATTATAAATATTCTTACTTTTATGGTGCCAATAACAATTATTCATCAATTTATTTATTTATTTATATTCTGTAGAAGCACTTGATCATGTGCATCATGAACAGCCTCTATTGGTTCTATTTTTAAAATAAAAAATGGGGAATAAATTAGGGGAGCTAATTTCTCCACTCCCATTTTCTTCACTTATACTCCCTTTTGCTTTTTAATACTTTTTAATCAATTTTGTTCTTTCTCTTTCCTATTTTATCCTTATCCTACATAATTTCTTTTTTACTTCACTTTTATATTTTTTTTTTCTTTATACTTAATTTTCTAACTTACACTCCATTTTCAGTATTAAAGGGAAAAAAACCTTAATTTCTTACTCGATTAAATGAAGAAAAATATACTAAAAATGGAGTTCAAGTTGGAAAATTAAGTATAAAGAAAAAGAATTAATATAAAAGTGAAGTAAAACTAGGGTAAGGGTATAATAGGAAAGGGAAGGAATATAATTGATTAAAAAGTATTAAAAAGTAAAAGAGAGTGTAAGTGGAGAAAAAGGAAGTGGGGAAATCATATCCCCAAATTAGCATACTAGACATAATGATACTAGTCATAAAATAATATCATACTAGACATAATGATATTTTTTTTGGTCTGGTAGACATAATGATTTAGTTTTATCCTTTGAGCATGATTTTATTGCATTATGCTTCCCGTTCCCCAATGTGAGGGGTACTTTTATTATTCTCTCTTTTTATTTATATAAAAGATATTATACTTTAAATTAATTTAAAATATATAAAGGGGAATTCTAACTCGAGTGCGGAGTAGAGTGAGGAATACATTCGTTTTGACCAACTTGACTAAGCCTATATCTACATCCATTTACCTTTAAAAAAATAATAATAATATTAACACTTCTTAATTTGTTGTATTGCACGAAAGGTATGTTGGCAGATTTGCCACAATGGTGAATAAGTCGGGATAGAACTTTGGAATTATTATTAACCAAAAAAAAAAAACTTTTCGTAATTATTTATTATTGATAATTACGGTATGCGGAATATCACATTTGAATATTTCAACAATGGATGGAGACATATTATAGCGTCTGGTTCAACGATCAAAGGCTCAAATAAGATGTAGCAATAAATTTTAAAAAAACTTGACCAAAAGAAAAAAAAAAAAAATTTAAAAAATACTTCGACAGACAAAAATAATAATATAAAAATATTGAACCAGTCGAGAATGAGTTTGATAGTTACAATAATGCTATGCAATAATTCATCCATTATTGGAAGAGGTATATTTTTGCTCACCACTTTAACTCAATGTGTATTCTCACCATTATTCTCAACACTTGATACGTATCCCTTGACATAACTATAGTTAACTATTTACTTTGTATTTATACAATCATGGTTATGTTAATAGATACGTGTCAAATATTGAGAAGGATGATGATGATACACCTTAAGTTAAAGTGATAAACAAAAATAATCCCTTATTAGATGTGGCAATTTGACATATGAAACCATGGGGCTGCTATTTTCAAGGATCAAATTTTGCAATCTTTTTGGGGCTGCTTACCCTTAATTTGAGTCTTGATTTTGATGTTGTTTAACTGGATATGGGTTCTTTTTTTATAAAGAAAATTGGATATGTTTCTACGCGTTTTGTAACATTCACTGTTTGATATTTTCTGGGCTTAGCTCTGATTTATGCGGCCATTTTTTCGACCCAAAATAAAATAACATAAACTCATATTCATTTGTTGGTTCCTAATAAGGTTTATTTTTTATATAATTGATAGCCCAAATGAATCTTTATTTGATAAAAAAAAATCTAATTTATGAAGAGAAAGAATCGAATTTGAGCGCAACACACAAACTCACTGTCCTAACCAACTAAGATAGTCTAAATGAATCTAATTTATGAAAATGGAGATTTAAATTTATGTGCAACATCATAAAATCTTATAGTTACGAATTAGTAAGGGCTTGGATGACTTCCTCAAGGTCATCAGCCGAAACTACTGATGCTTACTCATATGCTGGCCGGTTTAGTTAAATCCAATTTTACACAAATTCAATGTTTTAGCCGACTGATCTAACCACGTATGTGATTTACCTTATTAATTGAAGGATCTACCCCATTAATTTATAAATTTTCAAATAAATTTTTTGTTTGCTCAAGATTAATAAATCGTCCTTATCCACTTCGCTTTTTTTTTATTTATAATTTTTTTTTATCTGTCGCAGTTCTCATCCATTTTTCAAGGCGCGACAATCTGCAATTGTTTTAATTAATTTTTATTTATTTATTTTGGGTCGAGAAATAATAGACGTAGGAAATCCCAGGCTCTGCCCAGTGCCAACACGAGCAAAGTACAACACCTCATTTCAGCAAAAAGAAATAAGTACAACTATCCTCAGCATCCAAACACTCCCTAATTCGGCACCTCTTGCCTCTTGGGTATCGGCCTCACGGTAAGGGCATTTTCGTCACAATACTATTTTCCATATTAGCCACCAGAAAGTTCCGTACAAGCAGATCTCCAATGACCTTCTCTCTCTCTTTCTTTCTGTGTTCAAATTATTAACTCGTTGAGTCCCGTCCGATCTCCGACCTCGCCAAAACGACACCGAGTTCATGGGCGTTCCTGCGTTTTACCGCTGGCTAGCGGATCGGTACCCACTGTCCATCGCCGACGTGGTGGAGGAACAGCCTAGGGAGGGCCCCAATGGCGTGCCTCTACCGATCGACGTTTCCAGACCAAACCCTAATGGCTATGAGTTCGACAACATGTACCTCGACATGAACGGCATTATACATCCCTGTTTTCATCCCGATGGCAAGGTTTTCCTCTCTTTTTCCCTCGATAATTTCCATTATTTTTATTTCTTTCTATATATTTTCTTGTTAACGGTTGATTTTGGTGCTATCAGAGATAGAATTTAGGTGCATGTCTTGTTAATGGGAATATGTTGTTCAAAATCATTGGTTTAGTGATGCTAGCTTTGCTTCTAAATTACTTCAACAATTTCCACATTTTTTTCCAGTCTGAGAGAATTTAGTTAATTGTTGGTATGTTTATGTTTGATGATTGAAATGATTAAGTTTTGGTAATCTTAGAGATAACCTTTAGTCCTTAGTTATGATTATTTGGATTTGTGAATGATAGAAAATGTACATGGTATGCTAACCTAAGCTCATTAATAACGCATATAAATGTATATGTATTTATGTGGCTTGATAATGCTTGAATTTAATTCCCTTTTCTTGTGGGAAATATCAGATTCTGTTGTTTAAACTCATATGTTGACTTAAATATTAAGTTGGACGAAGTTGGATAAAAGTTATCGTTTTATGTTCTTTAATTTACCTCTCGATGATGAAATGCCTTTGCTTGAAGTTGTGGCCTCAGGACATGTTTTGTTTGTTTTGTTTGTGCAGCCAGCCCCTGCTACCTATCATGATGTATTCAGTTCAATATTTGATTACATTGACCATCTCTTCTCATTGGTTCGCCCAAGAAAGCTTCTTTTTATGGCAATCGGTAAGGTTTATCTTAGATCTGTTAAGTGTCATCTATAATAACTTTCTTTGCTCTAAATTCAGTACTTCATATATTTCTAATCCTCCAGACGGGGTTGCTCCAAGAGCTAAAATGAATCAGCAACGTTCTCGACGTTTCAGAGCTGCAAAAGATGCGGCTGAGGCGGTAAGTAATGTGGCTGAGGCAGTAATATAAGTAATGTGGCTGAGGCGGTAATATCTTACTTACCGCGCATAATTGGTTCATATTCAGTGAGCCAGTGAACTTATTGTTGTCTTTTAAAAAATTATGCTCTTTTAGGAAGTCGAAGAGGAAAGACTGAAGAAAGAATTTGAGATGGAGGGGATGTATTTGATTCCTAAAGAGAAACCTGAAACATCAGATTCAAATGTTATTACTCCGGGCACTCAATTTATGGCAGTGCTTTCGGTGGCACTTCAATATTTCATACAAAGTAGGTTAAACCACAACCCTGATTGGCGATCTACAAAGGTTGGTTTGACATTTTT